CTCCATTAATGGTTGGGGTGGAGCTTGATTGGTGTGGTTTGGTGTGGAGGAGTGAGGTATTTATAGGCTGGGGAATGGGAGAGGGGAAGAATTATTTGTAAATTTAAATAAATATCAATTGAAACTTGATATTTTTTTATACGCATGGAAAGTTATGATGCACCAATATATGCTTCTTGGATCGTATTTAAATAATATTAAAATATAATATACATGTGTGCCTTAAATCAGTGAATTAAACTTTTTAAAAATATTTTGTATAAGCAAAATGAAATATATATATATATATATATAAAGGTTAAACTTGAGTGAATTTCATATCAAGATTGAAGCTATTAAAATCCTGAAATTAGAGATGATAAGATGCCAAGCCGTGCAGGAAGAGCTGAATCGAGCCATATATTAAGGTAAAGAATTTTATGCACATTTAATTAATGAGTGATAATCAAAGAACTGAGGATTTCAACTTTTATAGTAGTTTTTTAAGGCTAAGTTGAGTAATTATTTTTTTTTATGCATTGAATTAATATTTTATTAAATGAATAATTATTTTATTAGATGACTTAAAATAAGTATTTCATTTATGTCTGACATTTTGAAAGCCTGAAGTGGTATCACATATGGGAGAATAATAACGGGTATAAGAAGATGCATTTTAAGGAATTTTAAGTTTATATGAAATGAAATACAAATGTTAAGTCATACAGGATTGCTCCAGATAGTACTGATAGGGGATGTGATGCACCCGTGCACTATAAAACAAATAATAAAGGTGTATTTTTTGGTGCAATTTTAATTGTACATTTGGGTATATTTTTAAGGGTACTTACAAGTACAATTTTATAGGGTACCTTTAGTTTTTGGGGATTCCTTAGGTTATGATGTTATTCTTGTTATGACTCTTAAAGAGGTTAAAAAGAGTAAATACTTAAAGTAAAATATGAAGAGATAATTAAAATAAAAGTTTGCAGTTTTACGAAGTAATGAACTGCAATTTTTTTTATCATTTATGCATAGTATTGACATAAAAATTTAACACATTTTAAACTTATAATTGTTCACTAAGTTATGTTTATGTTGAATTTAATTCTCTTTCAGGAAAAGAAAAAGAGATTTGGTTTACAGGAGAAAGGTCACTGTTGTTAGGTATTTATGTTTGTTTCTTTTTATTTTTTTCTTTAGATAGTGATATATTGTTATGTGTTGGTTTGAAATGTCTTCAGATTATCTTTGTTTCAGAATGTTCTAAATTTATTGCACTCTATGGATATTTGTGGTTCTTAATGTTTGTAAATGAGTGTTGTATGCCATCAAAGATTAAAGAGTTGAACATAATTCTTTGAAGAATACAGGGATTTCAATCAAATGATTAAGTATTTCACTATGTAAACAACTAAATGTTGTCAACATCAAATTTTCCGGAAAAAATAAGGCTGTCATGACTTTTTATTCCAAATCTCTTTCTTATTCCTACATCAACACAACTTCTCATTTTGAAGCATATCCACTATAAAATTTTAATGGTTTGAGACACTCACAAATTATTCTTCATTGCACCAAAGTAGATAATCTTTTGCTTTTGGCTTCATAAGCTTGCCAACAATAATTTTTCCGATCTCTAACTCCCTTCTTTTACAAATCTCCTTTAATTCTAATATGGCATTCAAACTGTCCTTAGTTTTGCATTTAACATACATCACCGCATTAAAGATATTATGAAAGAATTTTTCTCTATGTGGATGACAACAAGTTTACATTTCATCATATTATCCTTCTAGTAAAGGCAGATCCCAAAAAAAGGATATTTTTGTCCGATTATGAGCAACACTATGTGGAAAATAAAAATGAAATGTTAATAACGTCCGACCACAATTCTCGCCTTAGTTAATTTTAAGCCTCGGGAAGGGTCGTGACACTCTGCCTTGCCTTCTGGGGGCCTCTGCTTCATATTGAGAGCTTTTTATGTGCTTTTGTGCTGTTTTATTTTTATTTTGAGGAGTCACTGTTGTCACGTGACTGTTTGCATGTTTTATGTTGTTTATGTTGAGTAGTCGTCTTTGTAACTTTTGAATTCAACAATAAATATCTTTCTTTTGGTCGTCATTTGGGTTAACTCCGGTAAGAATCAAATTGGAAATTTGATTTTGAAAATATATCTCTTCAATTGAAATCTTCTATCAACTCAATCATTATCGGGATAATGAACATTTGCAATACTTTTATTTTTAATTTACGACATTTGGTACTTCATTATTTTTGAAATATTAGCATTGTCAACTTCATTTCTTATTAGGAGTAAGATCAAACTAGGTGATTTGGACTTGCAAATTTTTATACTTATTATTTAGACATTATTAAAATTATTAGACTCGTTGACTCATATCTTTAAGAGGCTGATAAAGGAGGATCAAATTAGTTGAGCAAGACTTACAATCATATCCTACAATTAAAGCGGCTCGTGCGGATTTATAATTTTGAGATTATGCACACATTTAAACATACCCATATTATGCATTTTATATAAATATGGGCACATATATGATCATTGTATTTTATGTAATTTAAGGGGTTATAACTTGATGCTTGATGCATTTAATTACATAATATTTTATGTTCTTGAAAGGCACATTATGATATTTGATGCATTTATAAGATATAAATGCATATTTTTAAATGCCCACTCATCTTTTGAGGCAGTATATTAGAGTTAGAAAATCCTTGAAGCGCAAATGTAGGATTTTAAAATCATTTTGAATTTGAAATGCATGCCTAGATTGTACACAATTTCTTTTTTGGCTTTAAAAGGAATCACCTTCTGTTTCACTAATAGATGTATTGTGAATCCGGTAACGAGATCTTATGACTCTTGCACAAGTCTTAAGCTATTTATATCCAAAGCGAACACTAACTTAAGTCTAATTAAATCATAAAATTATTTAATCATCTTGAAAATTTAGGCAAATATTATTAGTTTGGAATGCACAAGTTTTATTTTGAGCATTAAACAAAATCACGTTTTATTTGCTAGCTGATGTATTATGAATTCAGTGACAAAACTAATAAAACTTTCACAATTTGTGCTAATGACGTGCATAGTTTTATTTTGAGCATTAAAGAAAATCACGTTCTATTTGCTAGCTGATGTATCTTGAATTCAGTGACAAAAATAATAAAACTTTCACAATTTGTGCTAATGACGTGCATAAAATAATATTGATTTTTTTTTTCAAACGATTGCGTTCTGTTTAATTCTGAATTAGAGTTGGAGATTCAGTGGTGAATTGACATATTAAGTCCCGTTTAGCATTTAAAATTAACATTTATGTATTTAATTAGCCCCAATTTTTGTATTTAAGTTCTAATCACATTTGAATTTAAAGATGAATTCAATCACATTAATGGACAAGCCATTTAAATTTTCATGAATGTTATATAAATATCAAGCACATTAATTTTATTTTCTTGAAATGAATTGAATGATAATCTCAGTGATTAATTTATATTTTGTAACATACAATTTCTTTTATTTTTTTCATTTTAAAAGGCCAAATGTTCATATTTTTAGGTTACTTGCATGTCCAAATGTTCACATTTTAATTTTTTTTTTCCCCGAGTTACTAAGGGATCAAATTCTTAAAGTCATTTGCATGTCTACCAGTCTCTATCTATATTAGGGGGCATTGCGGAGAGTGATAGTGTGCTCAACTGTCTTAAAAGACATGTTACTCAGTATCATGAGACACTACGATCAGGGACAGTGTATTTTAGCACCGTGTATAAGACACTGTGAGTCTTCAATTAACTTGCAAAATGTCAAATATAAGCGTGCATTTCCTTGATATGGTTTTTTTTTTTTTCTAAACCGTACTTAATTCCTTGTACATGTACTCAGGCTTCTCAAGACGAGTATTTAAATTTCATTAAATTTTCACCGATTTTTCATTAAATTTCCTCAAATTACATAAATTTCTCTGATCGGTGCTTAATTTCCTGGATAGACCCAGCTTTCCCCAAAAAAGTATTTTAAAATTTCTCCCCACCCTTTTTTTTTCTAATATCTTTTTGAGCGAAATCGGCGAAGTTCAGGATGGTGAAACAATAGAATTAGTGAAACAATGTCTGAGACACAGGAGCCAAGAGAAGTTATAGGGCTCACTGTTTTCTGAATGGGAAGACGGGGAACCAGGAGAAATTACAAAAACTTTGGCGGGAGTAAGTCTTATTTATTTATTTATTTATTGGTCAACAGGGCACTCTCCTATATACCTTAGCAAAGTGAGTTGATGATATATCGGTTAGGTGGGTGTCACCGAGTCCTTTGCTGAAGCATTGGCTATTGATGACTTGAATGCTTAAGTTAAGCTTCACTAGCTGAACTTTAGTAATCGCAAATTATAGTTCATATTTTTAATGCACTACTAAACAAACATAATATCTAATTAAGGTAATTAGAACTTTCTATATCTCACATACAGCTTTTGCCACCAAAATATTAAATTGTCTTTTTAGAATTGGCTTCTTTCTTGCCTATGGTTTTTAGGCTTATTTATTTGTGATTTTTTAGGGTTTAGTCTGCCTCATTCTTTGTCCTGGGCCTGTCACACGTCTTACTTTTATTTTCTTAAATTGCATATCTTTGAGACAAGCTTTGGTGCTGTGCTTTTTTTAAGTTGTGTCAATTCTTTGTCTGAATTTTAATACCATAGGCCTTGCATATCTAGATGATAGGTAGAAGGGGCATTTACCATACCACACAATTCTTTTGTTTTTACATATATCACATCAAAACTTTCATATTTACACAACATTCATATCTTTAATATCACATGAAAAATGACACTACTATCACTCTTTAAAGGCGAAATACACCTTTTCATGCATAAGCTTAAAATGGTATGTAAATATGAAATTTTAGGTGAGAGAAATGCAGTTACATAAAAATTGTGTGCTAGGTATATAAATTTCCCTAGATAATATTTCCTTGTTAACACATTTTACAGCTGAATAGATGTCAAGGTACAATTTCAGTGTACCTAAGTAATGTATCGAAGAACAAGCACGATCTCAAGCAAGGACAGTACACTGACATTGACAAGCGCTACTTCAACCAACTCATTCAACTTAAGGTAACTGATTTAAGTTTGTGATGTTCTTTTAAATTTTAAATAGTTGCAGTATGCCCACAAACTTAATTGTGATGCTGCAGACCACTGAAATGGCAAATAAGGACCTTGACAGATACTACAATGCACTTGATAAGTAAGAATTTGAACTATTTACTGATTTCACGCCATACTCTTCATTTTATTTGAGTAATGAACTAGACTATGCTTCTTCTTTCATTATGTTGCTTAGATGAAGATATCAAATTACTCTTCTTTTTATTGTAATTCCAAAGAAGCTTGACAGCTTGGAATGCCAAAGATCTTTATTTGTTTTGTCAGGAAAAAGTATTTTGATCTAGTATTACTTTGTAGTGGAATCCCTAATTTGTAGCAATGGAATGAATATATTATAACAAAGGTTAACTAATTAAATATATTTTATTTTCTCTGAAAAAGCATTTGTAAAGAAAGGTTAAAGCTTATATATTTTAGCTTACTTCTTACAGGATTCATGGCTGGATTTAACGTAAACCCAGCCAAACGCGAAAAACAGGAAGCTAAATTCAATGCTTTGTTAATTCCATTTTCCTCTCCATTCCTTCTATTTTTGCACGTAAATCATGATTTTTTAAATTCAACTGTTTGGTGGATTTAACTGATTTAGCTTGGAAAGAAAATAATTGATATAAGATCCTGGAATAAAATGACAAATACCTCTAAAAACTTTAATTGGATTCAACCTCAGCCGAACAAAACACTATTATGGATTTAACAGCGTATGGATTTGATAAATCAGGATTTACCGGATTTACTTAATCAAATTTAACGTAAATCCTAATTGAAGCCAAGCACCTCTTAGGTTGTAGTTTTTTTCAATGAAATATTTATTTGTGGGTTATGTGGATGGTAGCAAGTTGTTACTGTCTAAAAGTATGCGGTTCAGAAATCAAATTCCTTTTAAAGGGTCTTCAACCAAATTATTTTCACATGTGGATCTAAAGGCTCTGTGCTTTACCTTAATGATTGATCTAGCCACTATTATATATTTTGTACTCCTCCATTTGACCAAGTTACATACAGAAAATATACAATTTTGACATATTCAGCATTAAAAAAAACTTCTACATTGGCGTGCTCATTCTTACTGTATAATAGTTCTTTTTTTTTTTCCGGAGACTTCTTGGTATCTGCTAGTACATGAATAGTGGCTTTTCAATATTTCTATTTTGGAGTTTTGATTTGTTGACTAATAATTCCTATAATGGAAGAGAGATTATTCCCGTTGGCAATTAGATCACTTTACCAACCAAAAAGAAACTGTGATAACAAGAAATTTTCTCAAAAAATATTTTTATCAACAACATTCAACTATTAATAGGAGTATAATGAAGTTTACCACTTAAAAGTACTTTTTTTTTTGTTGTTGTTGATGAATAGTCCCAATTCATTGGGGCAAGGAAACTCTTTTCCTGGAGGCAAGTTAGAAAGTATTTGAGATGACCCAGATGTTTATCCTAAAAACATTTTGGAATATAATGTTTTTTCTTTATTGTTGAATAAAAGTGGGGTGATATGTTTTTGTTAAGCTTACAGACTCTGTTCTGCCCCTAAGCAATAATTATTTTATTTAAACAAATTCAGTAAGATCGTCATAATAGATGCCATTAGTTACAACCATTTGCAGCAATGAACAAATTTAATTTTGTGGCCCTATCTATAGTATTATTTAGTAATAGTAAATATCTATCTACAATAAGGTTTGAATACGATGTCCCGAAGGACACCCAGCTAACATGATCCACTTGCTAAAGCGTGTGCCTTATGAAGTACATGCATCTTGAATTTTACTGCTGCTACTCAAGTTTGTATAGTCTGAGGTTTTCTGTGCAATTAAATAGTTTGGAATATGCCAATACTGAAAAGACTTCCCTTAGTTTATAAATTGAATTAACGCTGCATGGTTTTATATAAAAATATTATTCTTGAAATGCAAATGCAGCAAAACTTGCACTGCTAGAAGCTTTCTTAGCAGCAATGTCGTCCTCAAGTCATGCATTGCAATGCTTTGTTTCTGAACGTGATCTGTGTGATTAATATTTGGGGCATTTACATGCATACCACACAATCTTATGCATTTACGTACGTTTCACTTTAGATGTATTCCACGCAAATCTTTAACATAACATCAAAAATATCACGATCACTGTCTTTTTAAAAATGAAATACATCTTTTCATGCATAGGTTTATGACACCAAGGTGTTATATGTGTAAATATTGAATTTGGGTATTCGATATTTTAATACATAAGTATGTAAATTTCCTTGATTTTTTTAATAATTGTTCTGCACTAGGGCACTCATGCGGTTCCACACCATGAAGATGGAGGAGATAAATAAGATCATTAGGGAGCTATGGCAGCAGACCTATCGAGGACAGGATATTGATTACATAAGTATACATTCTGATTCTGAAGGTGCTGGAACTCGATCCTACAGCTACCGAGTGAGCCATATGAACTTATTTGGCTAAAGTTTCTTCAAACTTATGTCCCTGATCTTAAATAATTGTCATACAATTGAAATAAATGTAAATATATGTAGGTCCTCATGCAAACTGGTGATGCAGAGTTGGAAATGCGTGGAAGGTGTAGTGCGGGTCAAAAGGTGAGTGAGATGCAGAAAATTTACATGCATACCAAGAAATTCTTATGTATTTACATATCTATGATCTATATTTTACTTTTTTTTTTTACATTTATACCATCTAAATCTTTCTTATCACATAAAAAATACCATCCTTTTAACTTTTAAAAAGTGAAATACACCTTTCATGCATTAGGTATGTAAATTCTTGGGAAATGAGTGGTATGTATGTAAATTTTCTTATCTTGCAATGATAATGAGCAATTTAGGATGAAGAGTTTACTACGTGTAATTAAACAATATATTGATTGTACGTAGGTTCTCGCTTCGCTGATTATAAGATTGGCATTAGCGGAGACATTTTGTCTTAATTGTGGAATACTTGCATTGGATGAACCTACTACTAACTTGGATGGTCCAAACACAGAAAGCCTTGCTACAGCCCTCTCGAGGTACTTCTGTAAATTTTCTTAATTAAATAATTTTACAATCTTCTGCCCCAAATATCTCCTCACAACCCCTCTTTCTGTCAGAATTATGGAAGATCGTAAAGGACAAGAGAATTTTCAGTTGATAGTTATCACTCATGACGAACGTTTTGCTCAGCTAATCGGTCAGCGGCAACATGCCGAGAAATACTATCGGGTTACCAAAGATGAGCAGTAAGTCTTAAGGCTTTGATTTACTTTTTCGTACTATTTTTGCAATTTTCATCATTCACTGCGGCTTATTTCAAACTTCTAAAACCAGTCAGCACAGTATAATTGAAGCCCAGATGATATATGATTGATAGCAATTTTGACACCACAAATAGGCTAAATGGAGTTCAGAACGTCCATTTTCGCCCACATTGCCATTCTATTTTGGATTTATTCATTTCAGTTCCAGCAGAATGCTAATTTTGTGATTTCACTATCAAATGCTGCAACAGTTATATGTTAAACCTCTTTCTTCACATTTCTCTATAAAATTATTAAGTTTTAATATTATTGTATTTATATGCTGTATGTTCTTTTTGAAGTATTTTGAAGATAGCCCTAATGTTTTTAGCTGGAATTTTTGTGAGGGATACATTACAGAGTTTGGATTATCTGTTTTTAACATGTACTGTAACGTTGAAGTAGATGGTGAGGAAAGTGTCATTACAAATAGATTTTATCTGCTACGCCCCTATAAATTTAAAATGTCTTTTCAGATTCCTTAAATGGAGGAAAGCACCATTTAGCTGCGATCTATTTGCAAATCCTAATATTTTAGTGGTCTCATTTTAGGAACATGCCTTACATTACTTAGCCATCTTATTAGAAAGATTTGCACTTGGCCCAACTTGGGCAGTAAATGAACCATTGCACTTGATGAACAATTTAAATTTGGCTCATTGAAGACTTGGTTATATTTGTTTATGTTCACGAATAAATTAGTAAATAAACAAGTTTGAATAATTTAAAAAACTCGAAGCTTAAATGAGCTAAACATGAACATAATTGAACTTGTTCATTTATGTTCACGAATAAATATGTTTTTTGTTCAACAAGTAACTTGTTAAGCACTCGACATTAAGCTTGATGAAAGTTGGTATCATATATGATATATAAATACTAATATATTAAGTTTATGTAAATTCTTAAGTTGTCATTTTTAGTTGTTTGGTAGAATTTAGGTTAAATCTTAAATGCTACACAAATCATTCCATTAAACAACTCCTAAGTAAGAGATTTTTGGTAAAATGGAGAAATGAGATTTAAGATATTGTATGATTTAAAGTTTATAATCAATAAATTAGTAGTTAAGATCATATTTATAAAATTATTTATTGATTTTTTTATATGAAAGCTCAACACATGCTCAAGCTGAACATGAACAACTCACAATTACACCAAGCCAAGTCCTAATTATGATATACTCAATTGGACTCAGCTCGTTTACTGCCTTAGGCCCACCCACCTCTCTCACCAATAGTTTTCTACCTTAAAAATTCTACTAAATTTTTAATGGAAAAAAAAATTTAAATAAATGCAAAACAACATGATGGAGACATTGTATACTTTTGGGTTAACAGACAACCCACAAGCAGATCTATGCCTCTACAGGGAGATGGAGAGCTATATATATTTAACTTTAAAAATGAGATATATATCAAAAGCAGGGCTATAAATGAGCCAGAGCTTGGTTTGTGTTTGCGTTTGGTTCGTTTTAAATTAATTATGGTGAAAATTAACTCATAACTTAAAGTAGATATCGGGTGTGGATTTCAACCTACATCATTCATATGCAATAAAAGGAGCATAATCTTATGACCACAATGGAGTTGGGATAATTTAAGCCTAGAGGTAAATATATATAATATTTCTATATGAATAATAATATAATTTCCTAATTTTCAGTTCAAGAGAGCCAAACACTATCGAATAAGGGGTTCCTATTGTTCGGTTCATTTATGAATAATAATATAATTTCCTTATTTTCAGTTCAAGAGAGCCAAACACTATCGAATAAGGGGTTCCTGTTGTTCGGTTCATTTATAATTCGAGCTTAAAAAATCTATTTATGTTCGGTTACTTTCTTAACAAATGAGTAAAACATGCGTTTTTTTAGAGCCCAGTCGCAAGCTATTTAAAACTGTGTATATGGCAAGTTAAAACTTTTTAACTACTGCACACAAAAATACTACAGATTAATAAATACGTCCAGCTTAAATTTGCTCATCAACCTCCAAGAAATTCATTAGCTCCCCGTCATAGTGCTTTTAGTCATAACATGATGTATCCTGATTTGTGAAGATGGCTAAAAGAAATCAAACCAAAGAAGACTCCGAAACTCTGTAAAAAACAAAAAAAACAACAACAACAACAAATTTACCTTGTTTACAGCATCATTCTTTTTACTATTTCATCCAATAAATCCACATAAATTTCTCTCAAACATCAAATTCCAGCTTCTATCACACACCTTACATCTCAATAACAATCTTACCTGTAGCATGCCCATCAATACATTTAGCCCATGCATCCCCTGCATTGCTCAGCAAATGCTTAGAGTCCACCACCGTCTTCATCTTCCCTTCCTTCACCAACCCAACCAAAAACCTCAAATCCTCCTCCTTCGGCATCAGAACCATCGGCACTGCCGCCTTCTTAGCAAAACTAAGCCTCTTCAGAGCGTACTTCACAAAGGTCATGGGATTGGGTGTGACAACCACCACCTTCCCATTCTCGCTCAGATTCGCCTCAAAAACTGACCATTCGACGCCGGCTGCACATTGTATCACTGCATCATATTTCTTACCTGATGGACTCTGTAACATTTCGCCATCCGAGCTCTTGTAGTCGAGAACCTCATCTGCACCTAAGCTCTTGACCAATTCCATGTTTCGAGCGCCGCAGGTTGCCGTCACATTGAGGTTCGCAAGCTTTGCAAGCTGCACTGCATAGTGTCCAACGCCCCCGGAGGCAGCCGTTATGAGGATGTTGAGGGGCTTGCTCGTGCCGTCGAACTTGGCTCCGGCGGATTTGAGTGCTTGGAGAGCCGTGGAAGCAGCTATGGGTAGACCTGCGCCTTCAGCTGGGGATACCTCAGGTGGTCTGTGAACTGTTAGGGTGGATGAGGCAACTGCATATTCTGCAAGCCCACCTCCTTTCTATTATGTGAGGAGATGATTAGGGGATTGGTGTTGGTGAATGAAGAATGATTAGGAGAGGATGAAGAAGAGATTGATATGCGAACCATAAAATTGAGCATAGATACAACTTTGTCTCCAATTTTGAAGTTCTTGACTGCAGAACCAACATCAATAACCTCTCCGGCAACATCAGTAACTGTTTAAAAGATAGCAGTTTTGAAAAGTTTGGGTTAGTTGCATGTGAAGCAAGGAGGCTAATCGAATTTTGCCTCTTTTTACTCAGGAAATTTACATACATACAACACAATTCTTATGTATCCTTTTTATTCAGGAAATTTACATACATACAACACAATTCTTCTGTATTTACATAGATAACACCTAAACTTTCATATTTAGGTTCATAAAACTCAAATATTTAATATCACTTTTATTTACTTTGTAAAAATGAAATACACATTTTTGATGCATAGATTTATGACACCAATGTGCAATATTAGAAAATATAAAAGTTTAGGTTTTAGATATGTAAGTACATAATAATTTTGTGGTATGTATGTAAATTTCCCTAAAAAAAGCTGAAAATATAACAAATAACCATGTAGTAGTATCATCAAATATAGTATATGCAAGTCAGGTGCTCTAACTAATTATATATTGTATTTTTTATATCAATTATAGTAAATTAGGTAGAGTATCATAACATATCTTCTCAACAAAAACAGTATCATAACATATCTTCTCAAAAAAAAAGACAGGTTTCAAGTGAAATCATTTAGAAAAAGCTTATGTATACTGGATTCATTTAGAAAAAGCTTATGATTCATTTAGAAAAAGCTTATGACAGGTTTCAAGTGAAATCTTTTGGAGAGTTCTAAAGAAGAAAAGTGTTGATATGACTAAATCAATTAAGATATGTATACTGGAGTTGTTTCTTGTGTTCAAACAGAAGGAGCTTTAAGTTCATATTTTTTTGCTTTAGTTATGGATTCTCTTACTGGACATTTACAAGAGGATGTATCTTGTTGTATGCTTTGCGCTGATAATATGCTTATTGTGGATAAGACTAGAGAAATAGTTAGAAAAACTTGAATTATGGAGGTCTAGATTGGAGTCTAAAGACCTTCGTTTGAGTAAATCTAAAACTAAATGCATGAAATGTAATTTTAGTAGTAGTAGCTTCAGTGGCAGAATTGTTATATGGATGATTTAATCATTAAAAGATGTGAACGTTTTAGATATCTCGGGTCTATTGTTTAAAGTGGTGATGATATAGATTGGGATGTTATTGGTAGAATTCAAGTTTGTTGGTTTAAGTGAAGGAATGCATCGGGTCTATTGTGTGATAGAAAAGTACCGCTTAGACTTCAAGCAAAATTTTATAAGATGGTGATGAGACATACATTGCTCTATAATGCAAAATGTTGGCCTTTAAAAAAGAAGCATAATACAAAGTTAAGTGTTGTTGAGATGAGATGCTTAGGTGGATGAGTGGCTTGACACTTAAGAGACAAAATGTGAAATAAATATATCCGTGAAAATGTTGGTGTAGCTCCGGTGGCAGACAAGACTAGAGAGAGTCGTCTTAGATCATTTTGTCACATTAAACGTCGACCATCTAATGATTCGGTTGGGAAAGTAGATGTTTTAGATTTGACTTATGTTTAGAAAGGAAGAGGTACGCCTTAAAAGACTATGGCATATTGTATAAAAAATAATCTTAATTTATTAGAATTAAATGAAAATATAGCACTCAATAGGAAGCAATGGAGAAAAATGATTCATGTTGCCGACCCCACTTAGTGGAATAAAAGCTTGATGTTGTAAATCATATGCATTAATCATAATAGCGTGTTCGAATTGTTCGTTTAAGCAAACGAGCCAAATATGAATATTTTTTTAAGCTCAAATTATAAATGAGAATAACACGAACAACCTCGATCGTGCTCAGCTCATTTAAGCATTAGATAAGAAAAAATTATATATATTTATAACTAAGCTTAAATCATAACAGTTTATGTGGTTATGTGATTTCGTCTTCTATTGCATAAAATTAGTGTAGGTTCAAATCCAAACCCCTACATCTATTTTTCTAATTAATTTAAACGACTTAATCTCAAGCTAAACATGAACAAAAATATGTAAATCGAGCCAAACAAAAACACACTATTCATAAGCAATTTCAAACACTAGCTAATTTTGAAAGACTGGACATGAGCCAAACCTGAGCTCTCTCGAGTTCGACGCATTTACAGTCCTACAAACAGCACAACTTGCCCATTAGATTCAAGGTTAAATCACACTCGCCCGTTGATGAATTGGTAGAACTTCTCATCTTCCTTCCCATTGATAAGCATTCATATGTCATGACTTAGATACGAAAGTAACTTATCAAAATGAAATTTTAAGGGCAGTGGTGGAGCTTAAATTTTTTTTAAAGGGGGCATATCAATGAAATTTCATAGAAAATAGTATGACTGAATATTTTCTGAGAGCCCAATAAAATTTTTATTTTGAAGAAAATAAGTATAATATTAAAATTTCTACTTTTGAGGGGGGCATATGCCCCCATCATAACAAAGGACTTTGAACTCATTTTAAGAATCAAATCAATAACCTTGTGGACAAACAACTAATTACAGCCTTAAGGCGAAACTTATAAAAATAAATAAATTTATCACAACAAAAAAGTAATAAATTTAGAGCAAAAAAAATTCTCTGTACAAAAGAAAAGTTTCCATTTAAGCACGAAAATAAAAACAAAGCATCAAGCTGTTAAAGTCCTTAACAAAAAAAACATAAGAAATAACGTTAGAAAAAGTATATTGTTAGCAGTAGCATAACGGGTATGAAATCCAAAAAAAAAAAAGAAACAAATTTGACTAGAACTCAGGACAAACAAGGAAATAAAAAAAACAAAGTTTGAAAACATAAATTGAAGGAAAAATGGTGCTTGCGCCGTGGTATTCAGTTGTTATAATAACTTGAGTAATTATAAGAAATTAAGTGAATCTTTTAAATAATTTCCTCTAGAAAAGTATGAAATTTTCGGTATGCATTATTTTTCAGGTATTGACACAGGAGCTAAACTTTTAATTCAGTTTATATCTCTTGATATATGTATTTCAATTTATTTTTGTGTCTATATTTTAGGATGACATACTTGTAATTAGGAGAGTCTAGCCTCTATAAAAATGGACTGTTTTGTGTGGGTTGAGAAAGAAGAGTATATTGATTGGTTGTAAGAACCATTCTTGTATTCTTCTAGGTTAAGAAGCGAATTTAGTATCCTGGAGTAGTGCCCAGATGGTAATCAGTCATCTTTATTTCAGTTTATGCATTCTATTTCCCTTCTTTGAATTCTCAATCCAAATTTCTTTCTTTTCTAAATTTAGAAACAACAAATTTTTATTTTTACCTTATTTTTGGTATCATCATGATATCAAAGCACGGTTCTTACATATTTTTTTCTTTTCATTCCCCGAGTTCTTTCACATTTCAATCTTCTTTTATTTCCATTTTTTTTAGTTTCTCCTTCTCTGCTTATTGTCTAGAATTTATGGATCCAGAATTTGAGGATAGAAGTTTGTTTTCTATCCGGATTTTTTGGTTTTCTTTGCAATCCAGATTTGTTGAAATCTATCCAAATTTCTCTTTTGTGACCGGAATTTTCGTTATTGTGCATCCGTGGGGTTCTTCTGTCCAACCGTGGAGGTTGATAATTCTCTAGCTTAAGTTTCCTGTTTCCAATTCTTGCCCCGTAAATTTCAAACAGTTTGTTGCCCCTGCATTTGTTTGTGGTTCTTTCTTCTCTCAATCATGTCGCGAGGGAGGATCAATGTCCTTCTAAGCCGAGATTTGGTTGTGGAAGAATTGCTACAATAAATTTGTCGTCTACAAACAAGATTGGCACTTCTTGAACAGCAAGAACAAAAAAAAATAACAAAATGAATCTGGAAATGAGTGGATCAGCGAGGAAGAAGATAATCCATTCCATCATGCGACATTTTAACAAAATGAATCTGGAAATGAGAGGATCAGAGAGGAAGAAGATAATCCATTCCATCATGCGACATTTAGTAGTGCTGAACAACCTCTACATACTAGTAGTGATGAACAACCTCTACATACCATGAGGTTTGAAAATCAACGGAAACCTTTAGATTTCGGAATCAATATTGACCTTCTTGATTTGGATGGAATGTTGGATCTCAATGAATTCGTCAATTGGCAACATATAGTTGAATGAATTCTAGAATTCAATGAGTTATCACAAGAACATATCGTCAAACTAGTGGCAATCAAATTGAAGAAAAATATCTCTTTGACGGGAAAATTTGAAGAGGATTCAGCAAACGGAGGGAAGATCCAAGATCACGTCATGGACCAAAATGAAGAAAGAAATGCAATGACGATTCTTAATGGATCATTACCGACAAGAAATCTTCATTTGACTTCATAATCTTCATCAACAAGAATTATCCGTAGAAGAATATGTCGTTGAATTCAATAAATTAAGGCTGAATTGTAATCGATCCAAACCTAAAAAGCACACTATTGCACATTTTTTGGGTGGTCTACAACTATCTATTGCTAATGTGGCTCAACTCCAACCATTAGGGACATTACAAGACAAGATTTACTTGGCAGTGAAGGTTGAAAAACTGCATAAATTTGGTAGGAACACTGTAGTATGCATTCCTACCAATGATTTGGGTGGTTCCAGCAAATCAATCCACTTTCGGGCACAATGTGGTGGTTGAAATGTTGAAAACAGCAGTAAAACTACTGTCCAACCGCAAGGGACTGCTATCACGGCAAAGGAAGGAACTACATCAGGTATATAATGCTTCAAAATTCATGAGTTCGGCCGCATAGCTTCGACTTGTCCTAACCGGTGCATTATTTCATTGGTGAAGGAGGTTAATCAAGAGAAAAATGATGTGGTAGAAGAAGAATATACTAATCCAATGCGGGCCCAAATCCTATAGGCGGACGAGAAGGGGAATTACTTGTGATAAGACGTCTCATAAGTATCGAACAATCTTCCAATAAAAATTAGTTACGGCATAACATCTTTAGAATATGATGCACAGTTCAGGACAAAGTTTGTAACATTATCATAGATGGTGGAAGTTGTGAGAACGTGGTTGCAACAATCAGTGGAGAAGCTTGGGCTAACTACTCATCCCCATTAACTCACTTGGCTCAAGAAGGGGGCTGAAATTAAAGTCAATCGACAATGCATGGTGTCATTTTGGATTGGTCGGAAACTTTGTGAGCAGGTTGTATGTGATGTAATTTCAATGGACGCTTGTCACATATTGCTTGTTTGGACTCACAATATGATCGTCGTAAAATTTATGACGGGTATGCTAACACTTATTCCTTTATCAAAGAGAGATTTCAAACTAATTTGTTATCTATGAAGAAGGAGATTTGGGTAGAGATTGAAATCAACATTTTACTCCTTTCATTACTTTTGAAAGATCTTATGGAGACAATTATGGGAGATTTGGGTAGAGACTGAAATCAACATTTTACTCCATTACTTTTGAAAGATCTTATGGAGACAATTATGGGGTACCTTTTGATCATAACTGAGAATTTTGGACAGCTACATGCAAATCCTTCTAGATTGCAGGGATTGATACGACAGTTAGAATATATATTTACGACAGAGATTCCTGTAGGATTGCCTCCTATGAGAGAGGTACAACAAACCATTGACCTTGTCTCTGGTTCGTTCATCCCCAACAAACATGCATTTAGGATTCTCCGAAGGAGCATGAGAAACTTCAATGCCAAGTGGATGAATGGCCTGGGGCAACATAGTGCTAGACCGTGTGCGGCTCCGGCTCTCTTGGTTCCAAGGAAGGATGAGTTTGAAGATTTGATGTTGGAAGATGATTGGATCACCAAACTTAACCTACCTGGAAATTAGAGCTACTTCATCATTTTCGATGTCCCGAGTTGGCTACTCATTAGAAATCAAATTATGAGATTGCTCAATATGAGGGAACCTTGCCAACCCCGAGAATATGACGCAAGAGTTAAATGTTTTATTTTAGTTTATATATGTTGGTATATGTGTTCCAATTTGTTGTTGTAGGATAGCATAATTGTAATTAGGAGAGTAGCCTCTATAAATAGAGGTTATTTTGTGTGGGATAAAGAAGAAGAATATTTTGATTGATTGTAAGAACATTTCCTATATCTTTCTGGGTTAAGTGAATTTAGTATCGTGGAGTGGCACACAGGTGGTGATCGGCCATCTTTATTTTATTTTATGCATTTTATTTTCCTTCTTTGGGATTCTCGGTCTAGGTTTCTTTGTTTTCTGAATTTAGAAACTACAGATTGCTATTATTACTTTGTTTCCGGTACCACACATGGAATGAGATATCTCCTTGCTAAGGTGGAAATGTAACAGTGAATAATGTTTTACCTGGTATAAATGGAAATCTGAGTGGAAACAGTGGCCAAAGGTTTCCTTTCTGAGTTTTCCAATCAACGGGATTCAAGCTCGCTGCTTCCAGCTTTAGCAAGACCTCGTCTTTCTTTGGCAAAGGAACTTGCACCTCAACATGCTGCAGAGAGCAACCATATAATCAATATTTAACGTTGTTTTCTTTTAGGAAGATTTACATGCATACCACTCAATTCCTATTTATTTACAAATCTAGCAAATCTAGCACCTTACAAATCTAGCACCTAAAATCTAATTTCTACATATATGCCACCTTACATATGCATGAAAAGGTATATTCACTTTTTAAAAGTCAAAATAATTGTATTCTTTAAGTGACATGAAAGATTTTAATGGTTTAAATATACAAATTAAAGTTTTGGTGGTAAAGTTTTGGTTTTAGATATGTAAATACATAAGAATTGAGTAGCATGTTTGTAAATGCCCAATAAATGAAAAGTTTCATAATTGCTCAAAATATGGAACATGCTCCTTTGGAGAATCCTAAATGCTCCTTTGGTTTAGTCAGGTTTAAGAGGGATTGTCTCTAATGATGCCTCCATGTAGCTGAGTAAGCTTTTGATGCATGATACATTAAAGCTTCTATCATGATGAGTAATGGTTAATGAGAAATGTTCTCTCAAGTGAGGGAGAGATTGCTAAGGTATATGAGGCTTTGATTTTGTCTCAGATCAGACAGCTACAAATTATGTTGGTGCAGAAATACTAGTACTTGACCCTCACCCATAAGCTCAAAGTTTTGGGTGAAAATAGGTGAAGGATAAAAGGCTTGACTGCAACATATTTAATTTGCATTTTGTTGCCTCATTTGACAAAAAGTGGAAAGATGGATCAGCATTCCATGTGTTGCAATCGTTCGTCATGAGTTAACGAAGATGTTTGAGCGTTTGTCAATGTGCGCTAAATGATGAGGGTAGGAAGAAGCTTGAGATTGCTCCAAATAATCTTGCAAGAACTCAAGTTGGACATCTCGATTGCCATAGCCTATTTTTAATATCCCATACCCACTTAGCTAAGTAAAAGAAAGAAGGAGAAGCTACAATTATTCCATAAAAACTCTTAAGAAGAGGAAAAAAGTTGAATCTTGCCCACTTCAACACATTCCGCTATTTTTAACCCCATTAATTCACGTATGGTGTCAATATAATGTCATAAAATGAGTTGTTAAAGGGTATCATATAGACATCATTGATTGCCGCATCAAATTGTAAATTAGTAGTAATGCAGTGAAGGAAAAGGTAGCAACAACCCAAATTTTGTCTCCAACATTATGATAAATGCAGAGTTTTGGAGGATTTGAAGCAATCACTAGAACATGATTAACAACCATTTTATGACATTACAAGCACACATAAACTTATATGACGGTATATTTATAATTTTTTAGAGTTGCATTTTAATTATTATCCAAAATAGTCTTTATGATTATCAACAGCAAAGAACAACCCTCTCATGATTATGAACGGAACATATACTTCTATGGGTTGAATAAGCAAAACTGAACTATGCCAAAGCTATCAAAGCCTGTTGCTTTTAATAGATTAATAAGTATAATAATTAGGCCTTATTTATATTCTATTTTCTCAAAAGCAGGTTTTATTTAAGTGGAGATGTACAACACATAACCACTTAGAAAACAAAAACCAAAAGAAGTCTTATTAATAGGATACAACAACAACAACAACAACAGCAATGCCTTAATCCCACTACGTGGGATCAGCTACATGAATCATTTTTCTCCATTGTGCCCTATTTAGTTAGTGTCATATTTATTGTGCCCTATTTAGTGTCATATTTTCATTTAGTTCTAATAAATCAAGACTTATTAATAGGTAAATAAGAAAATTAGTCAAGCCAATTTGAAATTAATAAAAGGGGCATTTACATGCATACCACAACCAATTCCTACATATGTAATACCTGAACTTTGCTTATTGACACTTCCACCACCCAAATCTTTCATACCACATCAAAAATACCATTATTTTACCATTTTAACTTTTAAAAAGTGAAATGTAATCTTTCATGCATAAGGTGGTGTGTGTGTGTGGAAAAATTATTTCATACGGATCGGGCACCGCACGCA